AAAATATATTCGCATATATTCATAACGTTTTTATTAAAAATTATTCTTACAATAATTATATTTTTTGTACTATGTAAATTAATGTTTTACAAGGTAAAATTACTTTTTGAAACATTCTTATAACATTCTCATTACATGAATATATGTAAGAAGTTTACGTCAATTGTGCAATATTAATATAAGATTTAATGTTCTTATATTGAAGAAAGACTTTATTTTGTTTTGTGTATAATAACAACTTTTTGATTTTTAATTGTTTTAATTAACTATCTTGTTTATAACAATAGAAAGATAGCATATTGCACAATAAAAACTCAATTTCCATTTTAAAATAAAAATTCGTACACTGAATGATGAAAAATGTCATGGTAAATTTGAATTGAAATTATATTCGTCAAAATAATAATAAATAGCAAAGATAATGAAATATCTCTATTAAATTTATCAAATTTAGAACATATTTATTTTTTTAGTTGTTTTTAGAACGTATTTTATTTGTTTGTATCAATTTGTAAGACAATTATCTAACATTATTATTTCTCTGTGTATTACATAATTACATTAAATTGTGTTATATAAGTATGATATAAATCACATAGATTACAAGAAATCAGTCAATCTTAACAAATGGACCCGTTGAGATTTTATTTACCCGCCTGCCGTATATAATTGTAAAACTTATACGAAGTTTTATCCCAAAATATATCATCCTGTGTATCATGTATGTTTCTTGATTCTTATATTTAATATAATATATGCCACGATATCCAAGGTAATAGAAAATAATATCAATACTGTCATATTGTGCCAGTAATTTACATGCTTCATATCAAATTCGATGAGGAACTTTTCAGGAATAGCAAAATGGCAATAATCTGCCGAACATTTCAATTTCGCTCGATCGTAACTACAATTATAAATAATTGCTTTTAGATTTTGTAATAGAAAAAAAAATATTACAACAAATACAACAAATTAACTTCATTATTTTTAAATAATAACCTAATGTTAGTGTTTCCGTTATTTTATGTTATTTTAGTTTTATTGTTTTTATAATTATTTTAAATAATAACTCAACAAAAATGTTATATAAAAATATAAATTTGCAAAATTCAAGATATATAATATAAATTAGAATTACTATAGTTACCATATATTAAAGTAAAAATTAAATAGTCTTACCCATAAATAGCTATCAATACTCCTTCAAAAGCATATTTGAGAAACGATAGGTGAAACAACCAATTTAAGTACGGATGCACGTCTTTGGCGTGCACAAAGAAACCACTAAACATAATGAAAAACATCATTGTAAACGGTCCAAAAATTGCACTATTCTGAAATAAAGCAATTATTAATTTACTTTTTGTATTTGCGTAAATGATATTAATTTTCCATTTACGCAATCGATTTCACTCCAAGATAAGAAAAGAAATAAAGATAATACAAGATTTTTTATATAAAGTGACAATGTGTATCTCAAAATAGATTAATACAAACCTGGACTTTTAATCCAGACCCTACGATGAGACCAGCCGTTTGGGCAACTAGACTAACGAGGAAGCACATAAGCATGTATAATCCAAGCCTTCTACTTTCATTAATCTGATCGCTCATATAATATACTATGATGGAATAAATAGATGTGATAATAAGTTGAAGCAGAAAATCAGTCAATTTATTCGCTAAATAATACGATCGTAGTTTGTACCAACGATTAAAATGTTCACGTACGATTATCGGTAACTCCAAAGGAACTGCAAAACAAAAAAGATATTCGCCATTGTATTTTAAAAAATATTTGGTTAGATTTTAATATAAATTCTAAAATTATATGACTACTACAAGTTACATTATGAATATTACAAGTTTTATATTTTAATTGTTCATTTATATACAATTAAATTTCTATTCATTCTTGAAACATTAATACATTAATTTATGTATATTACTGTGCATGTTATGTCAGATAAATATATATATATATACATTTTGAAAATTAGATTGCGCTGCAATTAAATACGTGCAAACTTACACATAAGCATTGTAGGACTAAACGCACTGTACATAAGAAACATTATGTTGAAATATGACAAATTAAAATTATCTAAAACGAAAGCGGCATCTTGACCAATTCTGAAATATAAAATGCCAATAATCAGAGCGATCGCAAAGTGCATTGAGATCCGTGAGAGCGTTAAGACCTGTAAATAAAAAATTGCAAGAATTTTAGATTTATTAATATTTATATTGTAATTAATATTATAAAATGATTAATAAACACTATAATATAAACTAATCGATCGCATTTTTATTAATTAATGAACTGAACTTTATTTGATTATAAATCGTTTCCTTCTCGATATTTGTACAAGAGAAAGTGTAAATTTCTAAATGTAATGTCTCTTGTACATAGCAAAACCTGCATATAAAATAAGATTTTGTAAAGCGCAGCAATATTACTTTATTGCGAAATAATTTAATTGCATTTCTTTTGACAAGAATGCAAAATTGTCTCCAAGAATTGGCAGTATAATATGGGGTATGCTTAAATTCTATTTCGTAGGAATACAGTCTCTTAGGACCGAGTTGTTCCAAATTAATAATGTCATTGCTTTTTAAATGAAAGTCTTTCTTCGATCTCCATATATCACATCTGCCATTTTCGATCGATTCCACCAATTTGGATACATGGGGACCATAATCGCCATTGCATATCTCCATCACTACAAAAAAAGAATAATTTTAAATTTATGATACCAAGACTCTTGCATTTTAAACGAGCGATATGTTCGTTTAAAAAAAAAGAAAATAAAAGAAGAAAGAAGAAAGAAGCTTACAGAAGTCAACGGGATAATAATGCGTCGGACAGTGCAATCCTATACTACTTAGATATGGCACCAAATTATACGTGCTGCCCGTATAAACGCAATTACCGTCAGCAATTACATAAAGATGATCCAGCATGTTAAAGAGAGTCGCGCTCGGTTGATGAATCGTGCAGATTATAGTTCGTCCTTCTTGCGCTAATTGCTTCAAAAGTGCTAAGCATTGTTTTGAAGTAACGCTATCTAGACCGCTAAAAGAAGACAAATTACGATTACAATTGCATAAGAGGTACGTGACAAAAATAAAAAAGAAAATAAGTACAGACTTTCGTTGAGAGAATCATGTAATATCTACCTTGTAGGTTCATCAAAAAACATGACTGGTGGATTATTAATTAGTTCAAGTGCTATGGCAAGTCTTTTTCTTTGGCCTCCGCTAAGTTCGCCAGTAAGCGTATAACGAGACTCGTCGAGACTCATTGCTACTAATATTTCGTCGATCTGTGAAATTAAAAAATTTTCATGTAATAAATTTTCCCGTTTTAGAAAAATATAACATAATATCAGCATGTAATTCGCCTATATCTACAATTGAACATATTTACAATTTCAATTTAACAAGATCAAATTTTATTACACACATTTCCTGACTCACGGTACATATAGATTTTTCAAATTTTAAAAAATTTTTATTGATTATTGCTAACATAAGAATATTATATGTATATTTTTCCGTTAAAATAAAAATTATTTCTTCCATAAAACAATAACTTTATATATCTTTTTAACTATTAAATAGTTTATTTAATAGTTAAAAAATTTTCTATATAATGGAATTTACCTTCTGCAATTTCTCATAGTGGTCCAATCCGAGTTTGAGATCAGCAGCAATAAGCATCGCTTCTTGCACCGTTAAAAGTGGCTGCAATTTATCGTCCTGCATTATGTAAGCGGATAGTTTACGAAATTCTGACATATTTCGCTGACGCCCATTCACCATAATTCTGCCACTAACCGAGGTTGTCCTAAAATACAACAAGTTGCTATAATCTATATCACGTAAGTTCTCCATATCATTACGCATAGTACGTAATCAATAATCCACGTGTCAAAATAAATCTTTTCCGAGCAAAGATAAGCGAAATTACAACTAACTGATTAACCGATTAACAAATACACACACAACATGTATATCTTATAATTAATAAACAATTTATTGTCAACTATTAAATATGTATCTTACAAAATCTGCCAATCAATTGTTACATTTGTACGCTCAAGAAGGAAGAAGATAAGGCTGAGACAAAAGAAGATAAGAATGCGAAAGAGATAAGAATAAAATCTCATTTATGCTTTGCAAAATGCGATATCGCGATACATCGCATCAAGTGCATTTGAAGAATGGTTGAATATTGATATTGATATGTAATAAAGCCAAATGTGTAACCATGCAACCTTGAAGCCAGCCAGTACACATGCACCACAACTTTGCATAAAAACTAAATGATCTTTTTTAATAAAAAAAAAAAATAGGAAATGATAACGAAGATTACCCATATCTAAATTCAAGGCTGTCCTTTTATCAGTTTCGTTATGAAGATATTCCCGATCTGAATTTACATTCCACAGCTAATTTATATGACATGATTATATGACATGATTAAAAAGAATTTGTCAACTTATATGATACTTTGAAAAATTGAAATGTTATAGCTATAATCCCATACAGAATTATCCCATACGATAATTATCACGCTACTCGAAAAATATTAAGACGAAATTTGATAAGGTGCGGATTTCAACCGCACGTATTTAACGCAGCTATGATCCAATAGCTATGATCATAGTGAAGATTCTCATCAAGCCGGAATAATATTAATGAATATCATTTTGCGCCAACCAGTGTCTAACTCAAAATTCATCCGGAAATTTTATCATTCGAAATTTGATAACAGCTCAGTCCGAGGGAAAGAGACTCGTGCCAGAGTCGAAAAGTAATCAGAGATGATAATTTATGTTGTCTGCAAATCTGAGTATACGCACATCTGAAAATACGAAAGTCTCATGACAATTATAAGTAGAACATGATTTTTTGTATTCGAGATTATTATATTTGCAATTAAATTTCTCAAACAAATAAATATTTAATAAAGACGTCGAGTATAAGTGCCGGTTTTCCTGATTCTAATATTTTGAATTCTATTAAAACAATTCTTTTAAAACAAAACAATCCCCATTATTTTATTTATTTTATTTTGTGTCATAAAATACAATAGGGAAAGCTACACTTGATACACCAAGAAAAATAAATCGTAAGTAAAATGTTAATTCGAACTCAATTACTGCAATATAATATTTATTAATAAAAACATGCGTTTTATTAATTTCAATCACTGTATATACATGTACATAATATTTGATTACAGAAAACCAATGTAACCAATTTGTTTAATTTTAGTTTAATACTAATCTCCACTTCTAAATTATGTAATACATTTTAAAATATAAGAGAAAGGAAAGAAGCATCATAAAAGCATCATAAATTTTATATTCATAAAATCATAATTCTAATTACAAATTAACTATCTTAATGTAAAACTTTTGTAATAATCGATGACAATAAATGCTTGAATTTTTATTATCTTCTCACTTTATATTAAAAATTCATAAGTCGATAATTACATTTTTCTCTACTCATCACAAAATAAAATTTATCAGAGACTTATAGCATTAATTATATACTAACGTGAAACCAGCTAGGATGTCCATTAATGTAGATTTTCCAGAACCCGAAAGACCCATAATAGCTGTAAGTTCGCCCGGTCGAAAGTCACCATTAAGATCGCTCAGCAATTTTGTTCTCTCTATAAAACAGATGGAATAATCGTTCTTTGTAAAAAAAATTTAATGGCCACTTAAGGAAACGGTATTTAATATGCGTACAGCAATTTTCTTCTCTACAAAACAGATCGAATCGTTCTTTATAAAAAAAAAATATTTAACGACTACACAAGGAAGCAATATTTAATATGCAAAAAGAGATAAATTCGTATAAGCAAAATGTAATCAATGTTCTAATTACAGTCAACCTAAACAAATTGTCGTATGCACCGAAGTGAAAGTCTCGCAAAGTAAGAACGGTATGCTGCCGCTGCTACAACATATATCCATAGAATAATAATACTACAAAACACAATATTACATATCAAAGAGTACAATGTTTGCATATTTTATAATTTGATGTTAAAGAAATAATAGTAGATTGGTGTTAGGAGTCTGGCGTTTTTTCCGCTTCGCACTCATATTTCATTTAATTTGCAGTCGAAATAACGAAAGACTAATAAGTCTTATCGTAACTCGTCGATATTTCAAATTAAAATCTAAATTCAATGTTTGTGACAAATTTAACATTTTATCTTTGATTTTAGTTTAGTCTGGTTCTTTTATATTTAATTTATTATCAATTTATTATCACAAGATTTATATTCATTTATGCTACGTCTAAAAAAGTATGACTCTATTATTTCATAGATCACTATCATTTGGTGCATTTAGCATTGTTTTTGCACTTACGATGTACTTTAATAAAAATTATTAGTGACATTATTAGTGACGAATCTAAATTGTGACAGAGGATGTACAATTTAATATAATAATAAATTTAATAAAATGTAGAAATGTAGAATGTAGAAATGTAGAATGTGTTTATAAGAAGTTATTCATTAAATCTGATGTTTTAAGAATTAATATTAAAGATATTTGGATAAAAGATGCTTTTCATTTTTAAAAAAGAAATATATTTACATGAACTAGTTGAGAGATTTTTGTAGATCTAAAAATAGATATATTCTCTATTTTTTAGATCTAGATAAATGATATTCCGACAATAATTGAATATCAATCATAAGATTAACACACGTATCATATCTTCCTACACTTTGAAATGAAGTTAAACAGTAGCTCACGTATCTTATCGATTTCGAAGTGCTCTCAGCTGCTATCCATGTGTCTTTGTTCTGAGAACAAGTATTTGTCTCCTAAGCAACAAATTCTTATCTTAATTTTCAAATTTATAAAGTAAACAACAAAATTTATTATTTTTCTTATTGTCGCTTAAAGCAATACATTAATAAATACTTTAAATAGAATTATTTACCTGTTGTAACAATAATTTGTAATAATTATTTTTTAATTATTATTTATTCTATACATAATGGTGATAAATTCATATTCTGTAAACAATAATTATAATAATTCCATTACGTTAAAATAATATAATATAATTGAACAAGATTCGAATCAATCAAATCTGTAATAAAACTAATTAATTTTATCATCGGATATTTTGTTATATATTTATTTACTTTCTTCTCCTCTCGCGACAATAAATTCACATCTATAATCTATATTTACTTAATTTTATGTGATTTTCTGTTAAATATCACTCTTTACCCTTTGTTAAGATTCCCTTCCGCACGCTATACGTTATGTCTTCAAACAGCAGGTAAAGCGACCTGTTGACTTGTTGCGCGTCGTGCGCTCGTTGCGTATCATACATTCCTTTCGCGGATCTCATCGTCGCTTCGTCGCGTGGGATCGGCCTGTTGTCGCGCCTTTCTCGCTGGCAGTCTCCGCGTCGAGTTTTCGCCACGCGCGAGCGCGTTTCACATCTCCTCCGCGCGCTTTCCTTTCGCCCGATCAACTGGCGGACAACTTCGCATTCGTTCGATTCTACGCGCGCCTTTATCCGCGCACGCCGTGCGAATAGGCTGAGCGCCTACGGCGCCGGCGCGTCGCGTCGCGTCACGTCGCGACAGCGAGAACTTCACTCGGGACGCACGCTCGCTTCGTTCTTTTGGCACGCGTTCCGCCCGTTTAAACGCGCACGACTAATGATCTTCGCTTCTTTCCGTCCGTCCTGTCGACCGAACAGCTATCGCGAAATCAATGTTCAAAGTCCGTCATCCCGTCAGCTCGTCACATCTGGTGTGAATCCGCGTTATCGGCATGCGCGTTTTCGTTGAGATAAGATTTACTATTGTATCGGAAGGAAAAGCAAAGCGCGTGATCACGTTACGATCACGACTTCTCACTTCAAAGAAATATTGAACGAAGTAAATTGAGTTTTTGAAAGAGATTTGAAGGGAAAAAAGATAATTTTTTATTTTACATCGGTTTACAGGATTCTATGTAGCATATACAACAAATAAAGGATTACAAGGGAAAAAAATCACATTTTCGCAAAGAAAATAAAATCAATAGATGAAGTAAAGAAATAATTGATAAGAATGCGCTTAATCTCTATTCTGATTTGATTTTTTTCTTCATTTCTTAAATTTTTTTTTAATATTAAAAAATGGAACCTTTAAATAAATGATTTTTCTCGGTGAGAATTCTCTATTATTTTGACGGTGTATCCCTAAGTGTACGTAGAACCTGACAATGTTCTTAAAAAATATATATTTTAAACAATTCTAATTTAGTTATCAATTTTTATGGATTATAAAAAGTTTTAGTAAATTTGAAAAAATAGATAAATTATTATTTTTCATAGAAATTAGAAAAAATCGGCAAATCTTCAAAAGTAGTCATTTTATCTTCCTTCTTCCTATGTACTTTACGAGCATGTAACATAGGAATGCGTATGTATTTTCCTATGTATTCCTATGTATTACGAGCATGTAACATAGGAATGCGTATGTATTTTCCTATGTATTTTCCGAACATTCTCGAAATCGTTTAATTCTTACGCTTTTAATATAGCATGAAAAAGCATCTTTGCGTTTGTAAAAGAGTGGGGAAGAAATATGGATTGGCATGAAGCATGGTTTTATAGACCTATTTATAGACCCTCACCTTCATCTTCTATTTCATTCGAAGGCCAATTTTGACCAAATTTCATTAATTCCACGATGGAAGCATCTATCGTTTAATGAAATATATCCTTGGAAGCTGAAAAATTATATTTCTGAAAATATCGTATTTTTAAGCTCAAATGGAATTTATTTTAAATATATA